TATTTGGTACCCTTCGTGCCCTAAGCAACGTAGTTGCCCCGTTGGAACTCATCTAACACCATGGCCCGCCTCCCTCCGCTATCATGAACAGAGGCTCAACTCCAAGCTTCTCACCCATACTAGTACTCGCACGGACCAGCTGTTCACTTCATCTCTGACACACATCTCCCCCAAATCCTGTCTAATCGACCAGATTGCACAGACTCTTGGAACCTCCCCCGCTCATCACCCGCTTGGGCTATCCGTTCGACACTCGCAACCATCATTATTCCTAAGCTTCGATCAGCATGTGGATTCTTCCGTTACTGGGCTACACCGGTGTTATATTTGGCTTTTCGTTCCTGACGCTGGCTATCGGTAATCATCTCCGCCACTCGTTATTCGCAATACCGGTATCCGTACTGACCTTTACACCAGCTTCAGGGCTCTACTATCTCTCGGAGCTGGTAGAGGAACACACTGTCATCTCACAAAAGATATTAATACGGCTTATTCAAGCTATAATAGCAGCTCATATTCTATTGATTATATTCGATGGATTCCCCGTCATGTTGACGCTCTTTTCTGCAGCCAGTCACGGCGTGTACTTGATGAATGTTACAAGGACATTCCCGATGGGTATGTATAGTATCGCTAACCATATGTTCGTAGTTGGCTACTGGAATCTAACGCCTCCTTTTTTGCTTGTAGTCAAACTTACGGATGGTGTCTTCATCCTATCTTGCTGTATTATCATCCCTTACCTACCCCTTGCCTACCATACAACTAACAGTTCACAGGTCTTGTGATTGGAAATCATTTCCTTTGGTTCAATCATTTCTCAAACCCAGCCCTACCATCGGATCATCCCTTCAATCAACACCCGAATGGCCTGGGCAGAAACCTTTACGACTACTCGTCATCCGCTGACCCTAGTTTCCCCAGCCGTTTCCCTACGTTCACGGAGATTAGTGCTTTCTTTGGTATCTGCGTGTGGCTTGTGCCCTTCTCTCTGTTTGTGTCCTTGAGTGCTGGAGAGAATGTACTGCCCAGCACTTCCACCACGATGGGTGGTGGTTCTGCTAGTAAGAGGAGGGGAACGGGGGCGGGGATGGCTAAAATGGTTTTTGGGGGAGCTAAGGAGTGGCTAGGAAGCACCGGGGAGGCATTGGGTATTGTAAGCCCTGAAGGTAGAGGACATGCGAGGTTTGAATGATTAATTCGAAGAAAAGTGCAAAACCTGGATACATAATTCAACCTGGGCCCGGAGTTACTAGGAGTGTTGTATTTTTACAGATTGTGTAGTGATTTATCCCCCCCCCCCTTCGACCGCATAATATGGAAGGAGTGGAGTTGCTTAGAGATTTGTTTTATATCTGGCAAGGCATGCATTTGGATTGGGAAACAAAACACCGGGTTGAGAATGGCTTGTAGCACCTTCCGAGCTGTCACTTACGAATCGCAAAGTGCCAGAGTCCCAATCTGCCCGGCTGAGATTCTTAAAAGGAGGATCAACTACTACCGGTGTTGGTTTCGCCGGTCCCTGCCACTGCCAATATTATCGTGTAAATGGCTGGTACCCTGTGATGTCCTCAGGCTGGAAATTATACCTGGCATCACGTGATCCAGGGTTTGGCTTTTATCGATAACGAACCGCTCACACCGCCCCCCGCCCCTCAATACCAACCCCCTCCCCCGCCAAAACCCCACCAAACTACTCCTCCGATCCTGCACCTTCTCTGCTGCAGAAATGGAGGCAGAAATTACTGCTGTCCTTCCGTCCATCGACCCAATTATCACTGACTACTCTGTTGGATTTCTCACCCATGCCTCTACGTCCACTTCTCCCGAGGCGGATATCGAATTCGCTGAAGCCATCAGCGCTGTCACCTCCATACTCCTTGACGCTGCGCCGCCATCGGTTTCCGAGGCTTCTGTCACAGGCTTAATAGATAAGCTTGTTGCTCAGCTCAATGCTGCCCACGGCGAGAACCGAAGAGCTTTTTCTGGCCGAGCAAAAAAGCTTGATCAAACAATCCACATGGCCTCCCAGAAGAACATCTCCTCTACAATGGGTTTAGTAGGCGGTGGTGTCGACATCGATGCAGTGGGAACAAGGAAAGTTGAGAGTAAGGTCGACAAGAAGAAGCTCGAGAAAGCAGAGCGAAAGATCAAGGCGAAGCAGGATAAGAAAGTGATGAAGAATGTGACTTATGAGGCATCGAAGTTAATTGCTACAGATGAACAACAGTCTTACGATGACTTCTACATGGCTGTCAATCCGCTCCAGCTCGGGCAGAGCTCGCAGGGCAAGAGCAAGGATATCAAGATTGATAATGTGGACGTGCAAATCGGTGGGAAGAGGATTTTGTCAGATACTACACTTACTTTGGCTTATGGGAGGCGATATGGCCTTGTTGGGCAGAACGGTATTGGTAAATCTACGTTGCTTAGAGCGCTGTCGAGACGTGAAGTGGCTGTCCCTACACATATAACCATTTTACACGTAGAGCAAGAGGTCAGTTCGTATCAAGAGTTATGCTTCAGGGGTTTGGTATATTGACTTTTTTACTTCCTTTTTTTTCTTGTTTTCTTCGAAAGATCATGGGTGATGACACTCCGGCACTACAAGCCGTGCTCGACGCCGATGTGTGGCGGAAACACCTTCTCGCAGAACAAGACCGTATCTCAAAGGAACTCAAAATACTCGAGAGCAAGCCCGACCCGATCACCATCACCGCAAGTCAGGGATTCCCGAACCAAGAGCGTGACGAACTGGACTCGCTACTGTCAGAAGTCCATGCCAAGCTCGCCGAGATTGAATCCGATAAGGCGGAGCCAAGGGCTGCGTCCATTTTGGCAGGGTTAGGGTTTTCGGCGGAACGACAGCAGGATCCTACCAGAACCTTCTCCGGAGGTTGGAGGATGAGGTTGGCGTTGGCTCGTGCCCTCTTCTGTAAGCCGGATCTTCTGCTTCTGGATGAACCGTCGAACATGTTGGATGTTCCGTCAATCACTTTCTTGTCCGAATATCTGCAGGATTATCCCTCCACGATCCTGGTCGTGTCTCACGACAGGGCTTTCCTGAACGAGGTTGCGACTGATATCATCCATCAACACTCTGAGCGTCTCGATTACTACAAGGGCGGTAACTTTGACTCATTCTATGCTACCAAGGAAGAGCGACGGAAGACGGCGAAGAGGGAGTACGAGAACCAGATGGCGTATCGGAAGCATCTGCAGACCTTTATCGACAAGTTCCGGTATAATGCTGCCAAGAGTAGCGAAGCCCAGAGTAGGATTAAGAAGTTGGAAAAACTGCCGGTTTTGGAGGCCCCCGAGGACGAATATAGTGTTGTGTTCAAGTTCCCGGACGTGGAGAAGTTGAGCCCCCCTATCATTCAGATGCAGAATGTATCGTTTTCGTATACACCTGGGAAGCCAATTGTCGAGAAGGTGGACCTGGATGTCCAGTTAGATTCGCGGATTGGTATTGTGGGGCCTAACGTGAGTGCTTGGAAATCAATGTGCGGTGGCAGAGATAAACTGACCTAAATGTAGGGTGCCGGTAAAACTACTGTTTTGAAACTGCTCATTGGGCAACTTTCCCCATCAAGCGGGCTGTAGGGCTCATATCCACCCCAGTTTTGCGCAGGAGGAGAAGCCCTAACGATACCCTTAGTATCACCCAAAACCCCCGGCTCCGAATCGGCTTCTTCGCCCAGCACCACGTCGATGCCCTCGACCTGAACTCCAGCGCAGTAGCCTTCTGCGCAAAAATGTTCCCAGGCAGAACCGACGAAGAATACCGCCGCCACCTCGGCGCCTTCGGCATAACCGGGACGACAGGCCTCCAAAAGATGGCCCTCCTCTCCGGAGGTCAAAAGTCCCGTGTGGCATTCGCCTGCCTCTCTCTGACGAACCCACACATCCTCGTCCTCGATGAGCCTTCCAACCACTTGGACGTGGAAGCCATGGACGCGCTCTCTAACGCGCTGAGGAATTTCCATGGAGGCGTTCTCATGGTCTCGCACGATGTCACTATGCTCGCTAACGTGTGCACGCACTTGTGGGTGTGCGATAATGGGAGTGTGGAGAGCTTTCCGGGGGATATCAAGGCTTATAAGAAGAGGATTATTGAACAGGCTAATGCTGCGGGGGTGGTTAAGCATCATTAGGTTGTTGGGGTCTTTGATTGTAGGTAGTCTAGATAGCGGAGGGGCTTACCACGATCTTGTACCTAATATCACATAATGATACATGGAGAGCCTTACAAAGAAGCCGCGTAGCTCCCACACCATAATCCCACCCGACCTTTGTCCCACTCGTACCGAACACCGCACTCCTGATAACAACTTAGCTTCATTTTCTCTAGTATCGCCTTAGCTTAGCCTTCCGCCCACAGCGCCGCATCCCACCGCATGATACCGGCGTAGCCACTCCGACCCGGACAGAGAGGCAAAACCAGAACAAGCTTCAACACAGTAGCCTCACGATAAATACAAGGTTTCTCCAGAACTGCGCGCAAATTTGGCACGTTTCTTGCAAGGGTCTCAAACACCGGTAGTGTACGAGTAGCGCAATACATCGATTTACTGGTTATCATAGTTACGTAGCAACGCCACATCCCCTCCACACAAGTATGATACGTCAGGAGGAAGAATAGTGGGGAAAACCGGGGAAAATAGGGTATGATAATCTGGGGATGGGTATCTCCGGAGCTTACAAGCTTCAGTGCTCCCGGGAGCTCTTCACATCAAATCACTCGCAACAGGTGCCATACTTACTGTGTGCTTGGCATCCTCGGGTATTTCGCTCACGGTGCAGTACCGGTACGTTGCATTAGGCAGGATAATAGCCGTTTGCAGATTATGCATGTTGGGGGGTCGCACTTCGTGCCGTGGCATAACTTGTGCGACGTTCTCTGCCAGTCTGGTCTCGGGGTGTGAATACTGTACGAGTACGAGTACTTTATTCAGTTACTCGAGTACCGTAATAACGTAACCGAATCCATTGAATTTATTAAGTTCTAGAGAGGAGGAGGGGGTAAGAGGGAACCCGGTTGTAATTTTCTATATCTCGTGTGTATATTATATATGTGTTCTATTCAAAGGGAGGTCCTCGGGCTAAGGATGGTGATGGTGATTGTGGTGATGATGATGATGGGGTTTTCGGAGATAGGGTTCCCTTTGCTCTGATGGGGTGAGGTGGACGTGCCCTATGATAGCCAGCATGCATGGTAAGGTGGGCAGCCGTTGTTTTGACGGATAGACGGGGTGTCGCACGAGTCGTTCGGTGGTCCGCCAACTCTTTTTTTTTTTTTTTTTTTTTTGCTGGGAATTGGGAATTGGGAGTTGAATTGACTTGACCTGAACTGGGGTGCTGGGGTTGGGCTGTTCATTATACAGTGCAGCAGACGGTATCATCTGAGCTTGATATATCATTATACCAAGATATTATGATGGAGATAGAGTACTGTACGAGTACAGTTGTAGAATATGATATTATGGGGAAGCTCGCCCCTGCGTTTCGGGATTCCGGCTCTTTCTCATGTGGAGGGTAAATTTGTTATTATGGCTGAAGTGTTTTTGCTCTCTATCTCTTTCTCCCTCTCTATCTCGGGCCACTATTCGATTGTTTCCATTTCTCCCCTCTATATATACTCACTGTTGCATAAGTTTATTATCAACCTACTCAACATAA